ATCACACCCGTAAATGTGTGTAATCTAAACAAGTCGTGCTGTATCAATTTAAAAAAGAAAAACAAAATATTATATATCTTCGATTTGGGTTCGCCTTCAATTCTTAATAAATTCCACACACCGAAAAAAATCACGCAGAATTGACTGCGTTCTGTGTGTTACCATTTCACTTTCATCGGAACTATTTTTCAAAGAATGCTTTACATGGAATTTTCTCATTTCTATATATTTTTAACAGTTCCGAGCGATGAAAAACACTGTGCGAATTCTATGGCGTAAAACAATTAATTATTGGCTCACATCACATTAAATCAAAATTGCACACGATTCGATGAGATGTTGTTTACATTATTTCGACTTCCATTTATATTTGCATCGATTTAATTCAGCCCAGTTTTAGTGATGTGTATTTATTTCCAAGTAAACAGTTGTAAAAGATGTGATCGGTAATTCTATTGGCATTTATAATTAATTGGAGTAACAAGTAATTCAATGGACATCGATAATTTTAAGTTCACGTCATTTTGCTGATGGACAATAATGTTGTACGTGTATGACTTCATTTAGCACAGCTGTGTTAATGATTTTTGAATTTGAATACAAGCAAAATTACTGTGCGAAGGCACTGAATACACACGTACACATCGGTTCGGGCTGGCAATTAAATGAAACAAAAGCCGATTCAAAAAGTTATGGTTTTTATTGGAATGCTGAAGTCGTTTCAGAATTGTATATAATCAAAGATATTGAAAAATCGATTCAGTTGTACTTAAATCTAGACATGAATGACGCCATAATCAGCTGAATCCAGGCTATACAGAGATATATATATATATATATTATTGAACTACAATTGATTGAACTACTTTTTAGTGGTTCATAGACAAGTAAGGCTTACGATACATGGAAGTGACACGATGCTGTTTGTTTTATTGCTTCTGTTTTCCATTGGCTACTTTTTGGCCGAAAATATGTGTACACAATGCAAAGCATTGTCTGGTTCGAAATTAAACGAAAACCGCAGAGGTGTCAAGTTATTTAATTTTTATTTAACGCAAAAATCAATCCATCACAGACGAACAACCGAATCGAAAAAGTCATAACTAGCACAAGAGACGTTTGAATGAGAACGTCAGCATCATTATGAATCAGTAGCACAATCATTTCCGCTCCAACCCGCTCCAACAACGACGTAATTGAGCATGTAATAGATCATATTTAATTGCGTTCAATTTAAGATTAACTTCACGTCTGCATATTTAACAAAATATCATACATTATTATTATTTTTCCGTTTCATTCGTAAAACGAAAGAAAAACTTTTCCAAGTATATTTTAACCATGTCATTTGATCATTATAAACGTTTCAAAGATAGTGAAAGTTCTTGCCATGAATACTAATTCAGAATGACATTTCGGGAAATTTCGATTTCATTTTTGTATTCTCACTAAGCTAGATTTAAGCTTAGAAAATTACGTGCAAACGATTACATAACATGCATTAAAAATTTAAATCCATTTCACCAGAGAATTTGTGAATACTCATCACTATATGGTCCGAATGGTGTATGTGTATAGTGTGTGTGTTATCAATTATTATAGATCAATGGCGAGAAAGACGAGCACACAAATTATTGCTCACAGAAAAAAAGATACGTACGACAGTATAAATTTGTCTCATTGAGCATGTTGACAACGTTTTTGCATTAAATATTCGCTTTTCTTGTTTATTGCATACACGTACCACACATTCGATGTGTAATGAAAATGAAAATAAAGGTAAAACAATATATATATGCCAAACAACACAATGTATTTTATAAATTAAGTGATTTTTATTTAGTTGTCATGATGAGGTTATCGAAGATCCTCAACAATTTGTATACTAAAAAAATGGCGAATGTGATCAATTATTTATTATTGCGGCGTTCACAAAAAAGACGATCAAATTTGTCACAGAATATTGCATCACATCTTCACTTGAAGCAACAACGAATGACGATCGAAGTTGTATTAGTTGGATTGCAACGACTTTGATATTCTCTCTCCCTCTGTACAGTTTTAAAACCTCATTCAATTAGCCGGAATGAAATTCATGTGTTGACCATAAAATTGGCAATATAAATAAATGCATTAATTATGCAATAATTGAAGAGAATTCGGGCCGCAGGATGGGTTCAAAATGTCTTTCTTTTGTTTACTTTTGCTGTTAAGAATAGTGTACATTGGTCATACACAACGATTGTAAAAAAAAGACAATTTACCGTGAGGGAGACGCTAGAGCAGGTACATATGTATATTTATTATCGCAAAGCGTATTTTAGATATGTTAAATTGTTAATTGCTTTAACATTGAGCACAATAAACAATTGTTTTCTTTGTACAGTCAATTGACTTGGCAGCGATATTTGTCTATTTTACTTGTATTTTTATGTAATAATAATCAGTTCTTTGATACAACAGTTTCGATGTTAATGGCCTAAAGTCATCGAACATAGTGTGATTTTGCATCGCACTTTGAGCAATACACACACACACACACCACCTACTTTGGTCTCAGTCTGTGTCTTCGGCATGTCGGTAGTTTTGTTGACATCTCGCCAAACTATTTGCGCTTTTGTTTTTGTTGTTTCTTTTGTCGTTTGTTTTGCTTCGCTTTGCTTTGTTTGACGAATCAGTTTGCCGAACACCTGATCGCGAGACACGAGCTCTTCGTCTACCAATTTCGAGGCGATGTAAAGCAGCACAACACTGAATAAGTGTTTCTTTAAGCTCGATCGACATTCGTGGTGGGCATTTGAATATATAATTCGATGTAAGCACTTTTTGACACACTAGTCAATTTTTAGTGCTCGCATCGTGTTGTTCGACAGTGCATTCGCCAAACCATTTTTAGCGATCGACTTTTTTGTTTTCGTTTCACCTTTGTTCCACCGGTTCATGTTTTTTTTTTTTTTGGGCGAATATTTTGCGAAATGATCTAATCGATTGCGTTTCGTTTTGAGTTTGTTATCAAAACAAAAAACTTATCGAAAAGGAAATTTGTCGAAATTATTTCAATTCGGAATATTGTGACTTTTGTGTGCATATTAATTCAAACGAAAATCATTTTTAACACCAAATTGATATTGTGGAAATATTACGAACTGGAGACGAAAAAAAAATAAACTTATTCATATAGTTAAAATAGATAAAAGATTTGGTTTTCGTGGATTATTTTGTAAGTGAAAATAAAATTGTGTTTTTACTAAGTAATTTATATAGAATGTTTAACATTTGTATTTTCACTGTGGTTAATCAAATAGCGCAGATCGATATTTTAATTGATTGAAATCGATTTTGTGCGATTCAATACTTCAACATCTTTATCTAGATGAAAAGTTATACAATAAAATTACCGGCAATTTAGTCGAAATCAAAAGAAGTTATTGCAGAAAAAAGGACAACATTACAACTAATCCGAAAGTGATGAGAGTGTAAGAAATTGGTTCACACACTTGCCAAAAATGTAAAAATTTATTGATACGCACGTATAGTGTCGTAAGATCTTCTCTCAATTATCAATATCTATAACAATTAAATCGACACATGTATGTTTTGATCGGGTGTCATGATTAAATCACACGATATGAATTAGTCATAAACATTAGTGTTATATTGTGATTGCTTGTAATTTAGCGATCGTGTGCGCATCAAGCATGCAGATGACCCTGCTGACATTAATTACATCGCATAAAATATGAAATCATAACATTAGAACAAGCATCCGTCGATTTTTGTTCTATTGTTTATGTTAATATTGTGTGTTGATTTGCATACGCTCGTGACGCTTAGAGCTACATGAATTCATTAGCAAAGTTAAAAAAGTGAACAAGAAAATTACTCATACAATTTGGCTCTGATGATATTTTATTTGTTTTCGTTTTTAATACACTTTGTACACACAAATGTTGTTGCTGTATCTCTCTCACACACTGTGCGTTGAAAAATAAAGCCAGATAGACAAACGTGTTCTTTGTCTTGACACTTGATGACAATTATCGTAAGAATCTTCCCGAAAACGTTTTGCAGCAGTGCTTTCGTATAAATATGTATAATAATTACGTATGACAATGGCGCACAACGAAATGAATATAGACGGTTCTTTTTTCTTTTTTCTTGATTTGATAAATGGTTGTATTTACAACATTTTGAAAGAAAAGATCTCATCAAACCAAAATAAATGATCGTTGACGTTTCAATCGATCCTGATATTTAACGTTTGTCGATCTTCTTTACACTCGTTTCATAGAGGGCACAAAAAAAATCTTCTCTTTTTTCATGGGATCAACTTGGGATTATCTGAATGTTATAATTTAGCAAGTAATTAGTTTCTATAATTACTCCACGAGAAAGATGACGATGATGTCAGCGTTTTAAACGACCATTTCGAAGAAAAGCAATTTTTACCAGCGACCAAAGAAAAACTCCAATGTCACCGACAACAATTGACACTGAAACCTTTGTATGGTATTCGTGTAATTGATTTATTATCAAAAATCTCAAACACCTATTCGAACTGACTTCAGGCAGTTGCTTAGTAATCTATCAAAATTTGGGCTCGAATTTCATTCAACAATGTGAAATTGTAAAGATGAAATGATTTAAATTACTTAATTCCATGGTCAAGGTCAATCAATGTCACTATGGCGCACTCCATTTTCTGTTTCGATTCGATTTCCAAGAAATGAAACAATCTTCAAAACAAGTCTCAAAATTATTTTTGGTATACAAAACACGATCGGAATGTTCAATTAACCGTGACAAAATATAGCGAATGACGAATTAATTCACTGAAAGATAAAAATATCATCAAAATCATAGTCAAATAAATGTGTAATGGGAAGTAAATCGGTTCATTTCTTGATTATTAATTGAACAATCGATGATTTGGTGCTCAATCAGAAAAAATGGACAAAAAATACAGCTGAACAATTTATGACAAATTTATGCGCCATCTTACCATTTCTAACTATCATTTGATGAGACACTCCTCTCAATCAGTGATCACATGCTGTCAATTTTTGTTGATATTCTTCTTAGCATGAATAAGATTCAATTAACACAATACAATTTTTTTTTTTGCTAATTTGTCAGCTTCTTTTCTGCATCAAACATACCGAAATGTGTGTGTCATAATTTTCAATAAATTTTCACATGATACAATAAAATGGTGATCTCGTGATTGCCGGTGATCTGAAGTCGCAGTTTCGATCGATTTAAATGACAACGTATAAAATAAGCATGTAAAAAATGCAAAACCCATCATAATTAGCATTGAGCTCTGGACACGCGACGAATTTTCAACATATTTCTCAGATGTTGAGAATAATTCAAGTGTTTCGAATCATTCGTTTGTAAACGTAAAAAAGACAACAAGAAAAACACCGTCCATTGTTTGTTTGTTCACATTATGTGAATCGTATTGTTAAATCGGCTTTCGATTCAATTAACAAGTTTACGGTGTGCCGACGATAGTTGATCGTTTATAAACAACCAATAGTTAGATGTAAAAAAAAATGTTTGTCAATGATGTCAATGGTGGCAACGATATGCAAATTATACTGCTAAAAGTGGCAGATTTTAATCTGTGTAGTTGCTTCAAAGAGGAAATGCCAAATGATTTGTGGCTCGCAAAATATCCTACCTGGACCATGTAATTGAATTTGTTATGAATCAACGTAAAATGACTCAATTATAAATGACTTGATAGGATTTAAATGACATTCTAACCAGTTTGCCATTATTATTGAACCACGTTTGAGAAATTCTTTATTCGTTTTCTTTTAAAGTGAATTTGTTATTAGATATTTTCAAGCGTATTATCTTTTACCGTTAATCTTTCGAATTTTTTTTTTTCGCAGAACAACTTTACCTCAAGACAACTGTAGATTGTTTAAAAGAATTAGAACACATTGATAAAATGAACATTTTGCTGGGGATTATTTGTTTTGTGTTGTCGGTGACGGTAGAAGCTCAACGCAGCTCATTCCCCTTGCCCGAAGTGAAGCCCGAAGAAAGGCAATTTCGTGTTGTATACGAATGGTCAACGATTGGATTTGCTTATCGTAGCGATGTTGAACGTGCAAATGCCATTTATACAAATCATTATATTCCTCGAAACAATCTCATTTCGGATGTGAAAGCATTTGCAAATCGTTTATATTTGACGGTGCCACGCATGTTACCAGGTGTACCAGCAACATTGGGATGGATTGTCTCACCGAATAATAATGGACGAACCGATCCCGAAATCGAACCATTCCCATCATGGGAAATGAATGAAATTGGCAATTGTTCAGCACTGCAATTTGTTCAAGGCATTGCAATTGATACCGATGGTATTATGTGGGTTGTTGACAGCGGTCGGGTCGACACACTTAACCAGGGTAAGTTCAAGAAAATAAAATAATCTTCTGGAATTTGAAAGTGCATTTTCTACACTTTGAATCACTTAATTAGTGTCAACGATTCACATGAATATGACGAGCAGTTAATTTTAAGCGTTACTTTTATTCGAGGTGATAACAAGACCGAACAAACTCTTAATAGACAATCGATGTTAGTGTGTGGTTTGAATTGAACGCGTCTTACCTCGTTAAATACACATAAACGCTCAACCAAAAATGGTTTCATGGGCCATTCCATTCTTCCCAGTTTTTATTTTTTATTTTGTTGTTTCTTCCATTTGTTCAATACAATTTCGTATTGTTTTTTTTTTGTCGTTGCTTTGACTTTATCTTTTTTTGTCGAAACGAATAACAACCGAAAATTAAAATGATGGTAATTTGCCCTAACATACCATGTTATTGTTATTCACAATTCACCTTCTCGTAGTAAAATTATCATAAAAATATATCAAATTTTGTCACAAAAGTTGTAATAATCATAGTAATTTCTTCTGATTCTGACATTGGTTTTGAATTTTTTTTTTGTGTTGGTAATTTTTTGTTTAAAGGTTCACGACCACAAGCCAATTGTTTACCAAAATTGCTGTTGCTTGACTTAAAGCGAAATGGAACCATTCTTCGACGATACGAATTCCCAGAAGAAGTGGCTTCACGTGGATCCAATTATCTGGTAAGATTGTCTCTTTTACATACGGCTCTTGTAAAAGCCAATGTAAAGTCAAAACAAAAACAATAATCAATTGTTTGATTTTATAGAATAAAATTGTGATTGACGATGCATTCGGTGGTTTTGCTTATATCACTGATAACAGCGGTGCTGATCCAGGAATTGTCGTTTATTCAAAGCGATTGAATCGATCATGGAAAATTCGTGAAAATAATTCAATGCGAGCTGCTCGTAATGCTCAAGAGTTTATTGTAAATGGAACAAATTTAAATTTTGCAATTCATATTGATGGCATCGCCTTAGGACCGTATTATAATCCCGAAACTGGTTTGGTACAAAATCAAGGATTACCCATCGGACAACGTGGACCGTTAAATTTGCGTAGCAATAATTTTGAACGTAATGTCTATTACAGTCCATTGTCGTCATACCATTTGTACTCAATTCCAGCATCTGTATTACGTGATCCAGAATTTGCACGGCGTGCACAAGCACGTGAAGTGTTGGCCGCTGTCACCGATGTCGGTTTGAAAGTTTCACAAACCGATGGCATGATTATGGACAATCGTGGCGTTCTCTATTATGGCCTTTTGAAAGATAATGCAATTGCACAATGGGATTCATATGCACCATTCACGTTAGAAAATCAATTGATCATTGCCAAAGATGATAATTTCATTCAATGGGTCGATGGCATGAGTTTTGATGAAGAAGGTTACCTATATGTGGTTGTAAATCGTTTATTTAATTTTGTTGCGGGACGTTTACAGCCGAACGACATTAATTTTAGAATTTTACGCGCTAAAACCGGTACATTAAGCTATGTGTATACAAATAATGGTGGTTTGGGGGCACGTGCACCGGAAGACATTCTGAATCGTGGTCTTATATTGAACGATTTTGGTAATGGCATCGCTTCAACAACACCATCTTTCAGTGGATTGGCTGGACCTGGATTTTGGATCTCGGGTGCATCAATGTCAGCACAATCGTTTGTTCTCATTTCGGTACTCTTGTTCGCATCGATGAGCACTTACTTTATTCGATTTTAGAATTTAAAATCAATAAGAATGAAAAAACCACTTAACTTTAGTTTAACTTTTACGAATTTGAATATTTCGTATTTCCTAAACAAAATTGCATCAATACTGTAAATTGTGAATAGAATTTAAGGAAAACATATTGTTTTTACAAAAAATAAACTGATATATGAACACACATGAAAAAATAGACATAAATCGATTTATAATTGACTTTTTATTTGAACAACGCAATAACATTTCAACTGAATAAATTTAACCGGCGAATGAAAGCCAATGCGATTTAAGCTTTTTTTTGCGGTATTCGAATCAGTCAAGTACGTCGTACTTAAGTTAAATATGGACGTAAACGTAACAGTTGACTTTGACAGAGCTTTACGCGTTTCAACTGTGTGCATTAGCACACGTGTGGGCTATTAAAGTGATTGATAAATATTGTTGGTGTCCTTTTTATGATTGGAATTTTCGATTTCCCCGTTGAACAGTGTTAATTCATGTTTATTGGTGTGTCCAGAAGCTTTAAACGTTACACATATATTCACCGACAGTTCTGCTATAATACGCACCGATCACATGATTTGTTAATACAAAATCATATATGTATAGCCATATGTACAGTTATATATTTGTTTTCTAAATATAGTAGGTTCATTGTATGTCTGAAAGCCAAAATGACGTACAATATTTTTCGTTTCATTTGTGCTATCGTGTTTGGGCAAAATGACATCATTCATTAGTTTGAAATTGTCGATGTAATTATTGACATCCAAAGAATGTGGTCGCTCCGATATGGCTTCTTTGAAATTTGATTGTTCTGAAACAGTATTTCGATTTAAATTTAATATTGATCGTCTTAAGTTGGGTGAAATTGAAACGCCGGAAATTAAATTGAGCAAATTACATTGGAAAATTAAGCTAAACAAAAGATCAACAAGTGAAAGTAATAATGACACAGATGAAATTGATGTTTCTTTAGTATGTGAGCCTTCTTCTGATATAAATAAAACAATATGGTCATGTAACGCGTTAGCGGTTTTCAAATTGGTATCGTCGAAACAGGAGATTGTGAAAACTTTATCAAATAAAGAGTTTAACAGTAAGCACTTATCGCACACAATTAACGGATTTGTGCCGTGGAACGAACTATTGAATGTAGAAAATCAATATATGAATGAAAACGAAGTATCGCTTGACATTGAAATTCAAACGAATCCATTGTGCTGCATAAAAGCGATGGCCATGGAACAATCATCCACAAAACTTCGACTTATCGTTGAAAGTGTAAGCAAATTGGGAAATGTATATTCGCCGGAGGTGATTTTGCGTGGCATACGATTTAAAATTCAAACAAGAAAAGAAGATGAACATTTTGCCGTTTATTTGTGGGCCGTTGAAGATGATATGGATATGAATTGGTGCTGGGAGGTTTTTTATTCGTTCAAATTGTTATCGTTTAATAATAAAGTCGAACCAATTGACTGTAAAACGACTTCTGATATATTTCGCTATGGATGTCCAAGCTGGGGCTACGGTCGCCTTATAAAATGGTCGGAATTCATTGACCCGAAAAAACGATTCGTACGAAATGATACAGCCATTATTGAGATTGAATTCACTGTTAAACCACCAAAACCATTGTGGGAGTGCAAAAAGGATACAACTTATACAAAAACAGTTCGAACATTAGAATGTTCGATATGTTTTGAAAATTTTTGTGAACGAGAAGTTTGCGCCACAAAATGCGGTCACTTGTTTTGTACCGAATGCATCACTCGATCAATTGAAGATCGTCAAAAGTGTCCCATGTGCAATGCTGACGCGGCCATTGATGATCTTCGTC